TACTACTACTACTACTACTACTACTACTACTACTACTACTACTACTATACACTTCTACTACTTCTACTACTACTACTACTACTACTACTACTACTTTTGGTGACCTGGATATAATTCTGACAACTTTGATTGTTTGCTTGGGAGGGGTGGCCTCGTTTCACTAATCAATTAAGATCGAACAATATATATATATATACATTGACACAGCACATTTTCAAGTACTGTAGGATCTGTACTTATCAGCGGCTAGAAACACAAAAGGGTGGGCTTGTTGCTTTCGGATGGTAGCGGAGCTCCTGTCCAAGGAGCGATGAAGCTACCAGCATTTGCAGCCACGGCGTGTTGACTTGAGTGGAGCACATTGGGAAGGAAGAGAGGCTGGAGAGCCCGGATCTGTCTACAGTGACTACAGCTTTCTCAGGAAAACAAGACCGTTGGCTCCACGGCGATCAATTCGAATGGGTCGATGATATGAGTTTGGAATGGTTCAAGGCCTTGGCGCAGTGTGAAAAGAGAAGTCCAGTGAGAAGAGAGACTGCGCTGGTAGCAAAACACAGAGCTCAAAGATTGAAGTGCTTGACATGGTAGCTGGCACGCAAGCAAGTTTGATGCTGGGCGTACAGTCGAGATGGAATTCTACTTGGCGTTTTTTGAGCAGAACTTCAATCGAGCAAAGGCACAACATGCCGCAAGAAGGTCTTTGTTCCAATTTTGGGTAAGGTGTATTGAGATCATGATGTGCGTTTGCAACCTGTTGAAAGAAGTTAGAGAAAACATGTATGAAGCTTTGTTGCTGCAAATCAGTTGATACAGCGCAAGTTGCGTGCATGGTTTTTGGCATTGATACAGCGGGTGGACTTCCAAACATTGTGGATTTGTTGGATGTTGACATTGATTGCAACATTTTTGTCAAGCCACTTGAGTCATGGTAACCAAAACAAGTCGAGACTGGAAAAAGAACGAAGGCGAGGCAAGCTTGTAAGTCAGGAAGCAGTTGATGGCATGCGTATTTGTCAGTTGGCTCCACCCATGTACCGCAATGGAAGGATCTGGAGAAACGCGGGAGGAACAATTCAACAGAATGATACAAATAGCAAAGGCAACCACCAGCGCAGCAGCAAATTGACCAGCAAACACATTGACCAGCATGAATCCAGGAGGTGCAAGCCGTTGCAAGTATAAGTTCAGGTGGAGCTGGAAGTGGCTTGCAATCAGGGTCGGTACTTCGCAGCTAGCGGGAAATTCGTGTTCAGAGTTGGCTCAATTTTGCAGAATCAAACAGACCAAATCATTCTGGACAAGATTGAAGCTATGGGCCATGTAGCTAGGGCCAGTGAATACAATGATGATACGCCAGACCTCTCCACGAAACTATATACAGTAGATATTCCATCTTGACTTTGTACCTCCAGGAACATGTCTTCAAATGGTAAGCACAAAGGTATTTCAAACGTTGTACAAGGAGAATTTTCCCAATACCAAAGCACGTTCATTGGCATCATCGTACCCCTCACTTCCAAAGGAGAAAGGTTTGTTTGAGCGCGCTCTTGACTATGAGCGGCTGAGTTGGAGATGAGTTCATCAAGTGCAGATTTTCGATCAGCCACAGGGGTTGATCCAGCAGATGCGGTTGATCCAGCAGATGCACAGCGACTCACAAAGAAGAGTGATCAGTGGACAAGGCGTGGTGAATTCCAGGAAGTTGGAAGCTAATGAGCCATTGGCAATTGGGTGCAAAAGGCATCCCACTAATCCAACAGCATACGCAGAGGGAGAAGAGAGGTGTTGTAAGACAGTCAAGGCCCAGAAACAAATAAGCTTACCAACATCTGCACGGAGTTGAGACAACATCCGCTTGCTTTGCGAGAGAAGATTGAAAAACTTATGAATAGCATTGGAAGTTGCTTCTCATGTGTCAAGAAGAAGATCCACGATCCTACACGGCAGCAGCAATTGTCATGACTGTCATGAAAGCGTGAGATGATGGAGGTAGGACGCATTATATAATTCTTTCTTCAAGATCCGTGGAAATTCGCATCAGCGGCAAATCGAGAGCAGTAAGACAACCAAGCTGAGCGTTGGTTAGAAGCATCAGATCCATGGTCCAGGTCGCACATGTTGGGGGACACAAAATGTGATGAACCATGGATCTGCAAACTCAGCAGGACCAAAACATCCGACATAGCCTGCAGCCAGATGAAGGCGACGGTTGAGGTCATCGAATTCAGAATGTGCGAAAACAATGTTTCACAGGCGCATTCCGCTGGAAATGTACAGAAAGTTATCTATTCAGTCAGGTCATTCCTGAGGTGGGTTGTAAAGATTCGCGTGGTCAAGTGTGGTATATCTGAACTTGTCAGTGGCTCGAAAGACGGACAAGGTCGAGCTTTGGATTTTCCGAGATCCGTGCATAATTGGAGAATTGGAGCCTTGCCTACCGCAAGACCACTGACTATAACAAAAAAACATGCGTGTGTTTTCCAAGTGCTTGGAAACAAGTTGCATCATATGCCTTGCAACCATCAAGCCCATAGTCATTGCTCACGTTGAATTCCGGCAACTTCTCTCTTAGTTGGGCAAATCCCTCTGAGCTGTTGTTGATGCACGGACATTCAAATGAGCCCGAGGCCAGACCGCAAGCCGCAAACCAAGCGTGCAAAATGAAGCAAAGACGCCTGGCCATGGCAGCTATCATTGGCTGACTCCCTCTCAGCTATCTTGCCTCAAGCTTGGATTGCAGTTGCAGAAGATTGCGGAAGAAATTCAAGACAATCTGTTGCAAACTCATTCAGGACAAACAAAATCGCAGGCCAACCCTATCTTTCTGCAGTCTCAAGTATGAGAGAAGTGTGGGGCGCTGCTGGCCCATAGGACCCGTAGCGCCGAATCCGCCCCAACAAAGCAAGTCCCGAAAACGCGTTTGCGGTCGGAACCTGCTTTTCAAGGGACGGACTTGAAACTTTGGTTTTAGAACCCTTTGCCAGACCATGCACATTCTTTCCCACTTTCCCACACTCCAAAACAGAGGAAACCAAAGTTAGTTTGCAAAATAATTGTATGATCTATTGACCCGAGTCGGTATCATCTACACGCGCAATACGCGCGTACAAGCTGCAAAAAACTCGCTAACAAACGCGCAGTGCGCTCCCTGCACGGTGTCCTCAGGTTTTGTATTCACGCCTGGTCATCTCCACGAAGTTCCTTTTCACTGCGCAAACCTGGATTTGAGCCGCAGCATGTTGTGAAAGTCAGAGTGGATGGGGAGGCCATGGCTATTAGGTTGGAGGCCATCGCTAGAAGGCTATCGCTATAGGTTGGAGGCCATTGCAGTTCGGAGTGAATATGTTTGCCGAAAGTTACCACTTTGTATGTTTGACGGAAACTGTTCCAGGCCTCAGGACATCAGGAATGCTCAACGTCAACTTTTTCATGCGTGTTCTACCAATCCAAGAAGCTGTGCTGTTTGCCAATGAGAACATCTTGAGAGGTAGTGTGTTGAACTTGTTCGCTTTGAATGCCGCTGGTACCTGTCCTGGCACTTGATTTGCGAATTCTCTCAAAGGTCCTGACAAGCTCCTGGTAGAGCTTTTGCGCACAACCAGCTGCGGCAATGAGGATGGCAATCACAATGGTCCCAGAGAGCTCTTCGAACGTCAGGCCCCCTTCTTCTCGCAACTTAACTTCCTTGGTCCAAGATGCACAGCTGTCAAACAAAAAAATATACAAGCATAGACTTCAAAACGATTCGTTTAGACCAAAATCAGTCAAAAGTCGATTTCTTGGTACGCCCTACTTTCACCCCAAGAGCAAACTGCTTCGTCAATGAATTTTTGTCGGCATTGACATCGCTATTTGTTCGGCCACACTCCTCTCCAGTAAGCCGGGCCACAGAGACCAGCCACGCAGTTCCGCGGCCAAGACAAGGACAAAACGACACAGAGCCGGGCGAGCCCAGCCACAGAGTTCAGGACAAGAAGAGGACAAGGCCCAGCCACAGAGCCCAGCACAGAGGACAAGAGGAGGACAAGAGCCCAGTAAGCCGTCCATAGCACACGAGCACGCGCGCGCTCGCCCTGCTCTCTCTCTCTCTCTCTCTGTCTCTCTTTGCACAGCGCGCTCTGACCACGCCTTTCTGGAGCGTGAGCGCGCCTGTCCATAGCACACAAGCGCGCGCTCGCCCTGCTGTCTTTCTTTCTCTATATGTCTTTCTTTCTTTCTTTCTTCCTTCCTTCCTCCCTTCCTTCCTTCCTTCCTCGCTAGCTTGCTAGCTAGCTAGCTAGCTTGCTTGCTTTCTTTCTTTCTTTCTTTCTTTCTTTCTTTCTGTCTCTCTCTCTCTCTCTCTCTGTGAGCGCGACGTCCACAGCACACAAGCGCGCGCTCGCCCTGCTCTCTTTCCTTCTCTCTCTCTCTCTCTCTCTCTTTCTTTAAGTTTCTCTTTCTCTGTTTGCAGAGCGCGCCCTGAGCGCGCCTTTGTGGGGCGTATTTCAGAGCGCGCGTGAGCGCGACGTCCATAGCACACGAGCGCGCGCGCGCTCGCCCTGCTCTCTTTCCTCCTCTTCTCTCTCTCTCTCTCTTTCTCTTTAAGTTTCTCTTTCTCTGTCTTCCTCTCTGCAGAGCGCGCCCTGAGCGCACCTTTCTGGAGCGCCAGCGCGCCGTCCATAGCACACGAGCGCGCGCGCGCTCGCCCTGCTCTCTTTCCTTCTCTCTCTCCCCAGAGAGCCCAAAGACCTCTAATTAAGGGAAAACCCTCTAATTAAGGTAAAGCCCTTTAAAAACAACCTCTATTTAAAGGTCAATCCTTTAATTAAAAGTCTTTACCCCTTAATTAGAGGTCTTTGGTCCCTTAAAAAAGGTATAATCCTTTAAATGAAGGGTTTTGGTGCTAAAAACATACAACCCTTAAATAAGGTGTTTTGATGGCTCATGATTGGTGAGAAAAACATGTCAAACACATGTTTAACTGAAATGTTTAATCTGGTGAAACCTCCTGTTCCACTAAAGGAGGTGCCTCCTACATGAAGGAGCATTGTACATTTTTATCATATTAGTTGTATATTGTCTGTTTGAAGGAGAAGCCTCCTGCAAAGGAGACTTCTCCTGTTACCCCATCCCAACCCAGCAGCTGCAGCACCTTTTCTCTCAAAGCGAAGGGACCTGGTGCAAGGCTGCAAACTTATGGAACATGGCTTGCGCCACAGCCAAGCAAGTGAGGTTACCTCCTCGCCTTCTAGCAAGTTCTGACATTTGCCCTCCCCAATCCTCATCTCTGTAGGTCCACCCAGTGGATGGGGAGGCTTTGGGGTCACATGTCATTTCCAAGAACAAATGTAGTTTTGGGGTAACCTTGAAAAGTTGTCGACCTTGCTGGACAGAAATTTGGTTCAAGGTGACATACAAAGCAGCAAACTTCAAAGCTTCTCTGTGCAAAGCACTTGGTTCAAAAACTTGCTGGCTCAATTGCTGGTAGCAATTGTGCAAATGTTGGGCACATTGGATGGACTGCAGCTTCAAAAGAATCTGCATTGTTGAGTAATGCTGTGCATTGCAACAAAGAAAACTTGAGGCCAGAGGGGGTGAACGAAAGCTAGCCGGGCTTCCGGTGGTCTGCTGCTGGTGCTGCTGCTGCCGCTGCTGCGCTGGGCGCTGCTGCGCTGGGTGCTCTGCAGGCGCCGGGTCGTCTGCTGCTGCTGCTGCTGCTGGCGCTGGGTGGTCTGCTGCGGCTGCTGCTGCCGCGGCGTTGGGTATGCTGCTGCTGCTGCTGCCGCCGCTGGGTGGTCTGCTGCTGCTGGTGCTGCTGCTGCTGCCGCTGCTGCGCTGGGCGCTGCAGATGCTTGGTGTGCTGCAGCTGCTTGGTGGTCCCGCTCACCGCGCGCAGGGGGGAGTCGAACCGCGGGGGGGGGGGGGTCCATAAGATTGATTTAATCAATTATTTGAGGTTTCTGAGGTGCGTCCACCCCGTCACTTAACTTGCTAAAGCAAGAGCAACTCCAGCTAGCTAAGGCTAGCTTTCGTGACAAAATCAAGCCTTTTGCCTCTCCTGCTTTGGCTCTCAACTTAGGAGAAGTAGAACTGGAAGACTTTTTCTTGTCTTTGTAAAGCATGGAAGCCTTCAGCAAAGGCATTTGGGAATCAATGGCATACTCCTTGTAGTAGTTCTTCATACTGACATGCAAAGCTTTGCACCTCTGGTCCACATTGTTCCCAGGCAACTTCTCTGACAACAGGACAAAGACAGCGGCTAAAGGTCATACATAGAGAAATAAATATTAATCACTAGGGTTTATGATATAAGATATTCATGGTCAATGCTCATGTATGCATAGGAGGTGGTGGCCCATCTCCTGCTGTGCCAAAACCGGAAGAAGTGCCTGCACCAGCTGCTGCTGCCACTGCAGAAGTTCCCAATGGGGGGGCGTTCCCCCTGAAGCTCCCAAAGCCATCTCAGCTTGAAAAAAAGGTGTTGCTTTGCTGCTGGGTGGGGATGGATGATAAAGCTCCTTGTTGGGCAGGAGCTACAAAAAGTAATACCTCCTGAACTAGGAGGTCAATAATCAATGGTTGCTCTGTTTAAAAAAAAACCTCCTGGGATTAGGAGGTATATAATAATTTAGGGCTTCTACAAAGACCAACCTTATTTCCACTTGTGGCCTCTTTACCTGAGGCCTTGTCCGTCTGAAT